ATAATCTTTATTCTTTGGGTACAATGGATTTTACAACAGGAATATTGCTGAGAATGACATTTCAATATTGCAGGTTTTGCAAAGAGAATCTTATTCACTGTTTTTGGGCCCGTTAAGTCCTAAGGCAATCATTTTCCGGGGAAAAAAAAAAAAAAAAAAAAAAAAAAAAAGAAAAGAAAAGAAAAAAAAAAGGCAACAAATTTGTGGCCCTAAAAAGCTTAATAAAATGTAAACTAAAAATTAATGTAATTTTATTTGAGGAAAATAAAGATCTTGCAGAATTGATATGATTTGAGATGATGTCTTTATACACTATATGCAAATATGTTTAATGTGCAAATATCAAAAATATTAAAAAGGAAAATTATTTTATTTTATTTTTTTTTTACAATAATACAAATAAGTTATAAAAAAGATTTCCTAATAAAGTCATAAAAGTTACAAAATTTTCAATAAAAAAAAAAAAGTTTTTTGTTTGCTTGTCTTTTTTTTTTTTTTTTTTTTTGCCTGATTTCCTTTGTCTTTCGGGGTCGTAAGAGCAGCAGATGATGTGGCGGCAGCTACTTTTGGTCATTTTTTATTATTTTAATGACTACTGTATTAAATATATCCAGGGTGGGCAGGTAGACACACACACACAGTGACCAGACCCTGGTTTTGTTCCCTGGCTAGTTCATTATCATACCACTTCATGTCTGAAAATAAACGTCAAGGTTTTATTCGAAGAGTTGGTAGGAATCTGAGTAAAAACAGAAAACCTGTCACCAAACATCAAAATATAGGAAAGAAGCTACTAAGTTCATGGCATTTGTGATCTCAAAAGATCATCAAGATGCCACATGCTAAATTCTTCAGGGCATCTCTCAGGTAGGGAGGAGTTACTTGGCAGTGCCCATTTCAGAGAAATATTTGTGTGGTAGTATTTACTTGCCACTCCACAAAGGCTAGATTGTACTCAATCATGTGATACCAGATGCAAGAAGAATTCTTGACTGAATGCTCCATCAACCATGGAAGATTAGAAATTAGACATTTATAGTGTCTTGTGATGAAGAGACAGTGAGGTTCATACCTTTGCAAAAAGGCTCGTACTAAGTGAGAATTGGAACTCAGCTTGTTAATGCTGTGCCATGCTAAGAACCTTTCACCTCCTCATAGCATTAACCTAACTAAATGAAACCCGACCCAAGTATATAAAATAAAAATTAGCAGCTTTTATGCATTGCAAAATTACTGATTTTGATTATAATTTTGTTGATACACATGGACAAAAAGTTAAGGTAAAAATTTGAAGCAAGTTTAGCTTCAGGCATTTTTCAATTACATAACAATCAAGTATTGTATTCATAAAACAAAATTATAATTGTGCATTAAAATTTTAAATGTGTTAAACTCCAGGCAGCAGCTCACAGGGAATAATTTATAGCATTCTGATGTTTTTGGTAAATTATATATAAAGCATCATATAGGTATTAAGCATAATTTTCACTGTAATGGGTAGGGGGTGGAGAAATCTAACATCTTCCCCAAGAATAATTTAGTGGATTGAAGAGGATAACTGTCTTAATACAAGGGATGGAGAGCGGTAATAACCCATGGCCAACTACATGTTCTAAGACAGTTTTTCTGCTTGTGGGGAATCCACTGTCAGCTATTCACTGTTTACAATACAGAATTTTCAAGTTTGAAACTAAGTCTAACAAAACACTGAACTGGATCCAACATGCAAAAAGTTATGACAGGCACAAATGGGAAATATTAAAACAAATTAAGTGATGAAGCATTTAAATTAATTTTTTATTTTTTTTTTATAATTTGTAACCCCCTTTCATCATAGTGGCTTTATTGCCTTACTTGGAGTGAAATGAAAAAAATTCTTCTCAGTGCAAAATACCTAACTTTGCTAATAAAATACAGCAAGGTGAGAGGGATGGATGGTTAAAAAAAAAAAAAAAATATATAAAAAAAATAAAATAAAAAATATTCTGGTTACATTCTCAAATAGAAAAATGAAGCGAGTGATGATTAAAATGGTTTTTGATTTGAAAAAAAGAGGGATAAGATGATTTATATGTAGATATGGGGAATAAGATAAATACATATTTAGTGAGCATAACATTTAAAACAGCTAAGATTTTGCAAACTATGAGGGGGGAAAATAGCATTTAACAAATAATAGATAGGAGCCAGAAGAGATTAATATACTGAACCAGGTACACGACTCACATTAGAAAAAAAATGTGTGTGTGTGGGGGGGGTATGTACGTAGAGAGAGAGAATAATTCAAATAAATTAGTGCTGTCAATTTGTACCAATGCCCTAGATCCATCATATAATGATAAATAATGATGACTATACTAGTTTATCATGATATTTAAGTTCTTAGGCATCTGTCATATTTGCCACTTCCTTAGTATTGCTCCATACAAACAGGAATCCTATAGGTCAGAACAGAGTAGCAAAATCTCCAGTTAAATTGAAAAAACTGGCACATTATTAAAAAAACAGGCCAATGAGCAGGTGTTTGGGTGAGCAAACAAGAGATTTTAACACTCATCTGTGCTGGTCCTATTTAAAAAAAAAAAAAAAAAAAAAAAAAAAAAAAAAAAGTACAAATCTGATACTCAAATGTAGTATTCATTTTAACAAACTAGTGATGAAAACAACAAAGATGAGAATACACATCCAAATGATTTACATCATAAAATACCTCAATTCTTAAGCAAATTCCCTTACATGATGATTCAAACGTGTTGCAATTCATATAGCTAGTTGGGAAATGAGAAACAATAGCAGAGGAAAGCAAATAGGTTTTACTAAATGAAGAAATATCTGAACACAATTTAATTAAAAAGATCAGAGTTTATCAAAGAGCTGTTGTCAGACTAATCACTGACAATCATTTAATTTAGATAATTTTACTTTTTAAAAACAATGGAAAATTCTTGAGTATGCTGGGTGTATTCAGTGCTGGAGACTTCTCTTAATTGAAGCCAAGTAAACATCTGTTACCGACAGAAAACAGATCAACATTTTTAACAAATCTACAATTTAAACTGAAGATAAAAATAAAATTGGACCTTAAAGGAAAATTTTTTTTTTTAAAAAAAAAAGAACCAACAAAAAAACAACATTCACAGCTGATGTCTTCTGTTTTGTTGGGTTTTAAGAATTTAAAGTGTTACTTACATGTTTTTCTTCTGCTATCCAGAAAAATTTACATGAAAAAGAAAAAAGTTGCAAAAAAATGAATTATTAGTTTCAACAGCAAAGAAAATATAAACCCATAGAATAAATGGGAAATTTATGGAGGAAAAAAGTTTAGAAAATTGGCTAAAGTGCACATATTTTATTCCCATATATTGCAATGTTCTTGTTCTGTACTTAATTTGTTTAACATGTAAAAATAGAGACTAAAATCAACTTAAATTAGTTTTAGTTTCATTGAAGTAATTGTTAATCTTAATTTTGCAACTACTTCCTTAGTCCATTAAGTTATAAGTGCTAAAATACAATATCATTAACGGATAAAAATTAGACATTTGATACCCTGCCATTGAGCTAATTATAATATTTAGCTCACTTCTGGATATTATTCTTAATCAGCAGGAAATCTATCCAGTCTTTATTCATAAAGTTTTTCAAGTATTTCAAATGGTATGTAAGTATAATCATATGGCTTTTATGATTTCCCATTAAGTTTTTGTTTTTAGGTGCATTCATTTTGCAAGCTGTAGTAATCAGGAAAAAAAAATACACATGAAGTCTTAAACATTTACAAATGATTTAGCAAAATAGACAAGGGAGGTAAATACGAAAGAAAGCCTACCAGTTTTCATACTGCAAAATAGCATCAAATGTAGGTCAAACTGCACTAACCTAATTAGTAAAAGTAATTAATATTTCAGTTCAATCATTAAATACTATTCCTACTACTACTCTTAATTAACTTTCATATTTTTATAAATTAAAGCATTTTCTTCTTAGCTTTTCTTTGCATAAAAAAACGTCAAGCAAATCTAATTTATGAAATTTATATCAAATGTTGGTAAAATGAAAATGGTAAAGTTCTGGAAGGTTATTGTCATTAAATTTGAATTGCACAAAGCTATATTCTTTTTTCTTCAGTATTATATGTATATCTTTCAAAAGATCTTTATGAGACTGAAGAAATCAAACTACAAAAGTTATTGAAAATGCTAGTTTTATATATAAAATACAATTACAAAAAGTTTAAGGATTAAAAAATATTAAATTAAATGGTATAAATTTAATGTTGGTAAATAAATTTACTCAAGAAAAGGAAGATATTTTTCTATTTATAATTTAAGAACTTTTCTTGAAATTAGCTTTAAGTAATCTTAAAATTATTATTATTACAGTTCTTGTGATATTTATCAATGCATAAAATTTAAAAAAGATGCTAGGAGCATTTAATTATAAATCAGTTAAACTACAGACTAGCTCTTACAGAGCATTTATATTTTGGATTTTAGGACTAATGAAAAAAATTAAGTCGCAGAGTAGTGAAACTAATTAATGCATAACTTAGTCACTTTTTTTTCTTAAAGTCAATATTAAAATAGTGGCTCCTTTCAACAGGTAAAAATTTTACAAACTGAAAATGGTAGTGGTGGGGGTAGGCTATCATTTGGGATCGTTTTTACTTCAAAATGGAAGTCTTAAAGCTTAAAGTTGAAAAGCTTTTTTTTTTTTTTTTTTTTTACACGTGTCAAAAAAACAGAACTTTAAGCCTAATGCATATAGATATTATACCTTATACATTTTTCTGCTGTTAATGTTTCCCATTTATATAAGTGTTGCAAATTTTTAATCAAGAATTAGGGAAGAAAAAATCATTTTATGACTATTTTGTGTATCAAATATGAAAAATAATTATCTTACATAGAAAAATGGTAATTGTGATGGAAGAATGAGAAAAATGGGTTTTATAAGTTTTGAATTCACAGAAGCAACAAATTAAGCAACAATTTAAGATATCAACACTCACCTTTTTCTTCTTTAAGTGAACCACTTAAGTGTGGATTGCCAGGAAATGTACTTGAGAGAGCCAGAAGTCCTGACCCACAAGAGACTGGAATTCCTGGAGGTTGTAAGCTTGCTGGATGTGGTGGCATTGGAATGGCTGGGGGATTTGCATGTGGCAAGTGTTGAGCCTGAACTTGTTGCTAGAACAAAGACAAAACACTTCTCATCAATACCATTTGAATTTGCAGATTTGTAAGAACATAAGGTATACAGACAAAAAAAAAAAAAAAGTATTGCACTTAGTAAAACAGATTTTTATGTCAAGTAGTATCAGCCTCCTGCCATATTAATACGAGAATGGTTAAGTAGAGACATTATTATATAGTTGTATGAAAAAGAATGTAGAAATTAATAAAGAAAATTACTAAAACATTTAAACAATTTAGTTTATTATATAGAACTGAATTTTATATTACAGGGGAAAAGGATTTCTTATTGTGGAAAAACTGAGCATATTTCAGAGTAATATTAAATAAATTCTCTGCATTATTTGTAAACAATTTTTATTGTCTGATTATAAATACTTAGCAAGCACAAGCCCAAGTGAGGGGTAAAAATTGCATTGTGTATGCCCTTGCAATAACTTCATTCAGAAACCCTCTACCTTGAGTGGCTCTTGGAAGAGTAGGAAAAATGTTTATTTTACATATTTTTCAACAATATTTAGTTAAATAAGAAATTTTTAGAACATGAACATAAAAAAAAGACCTTTTAATTTAGCTTGAATGAAATAGCTTAATAATGGTAACTGGAGAAATATTGGAAGTTTTAATTGATTATTCTCTTGTACAAAATGTGTGGTAACTGTAGAAATGGAAGCTAGCCTTAGCTAAAGAGATTTATTTCCCTTACTTTGAAATCAAAAAGTTTCCCCTTGGTGCACAAATTATGAAAAAGTAAATGTAATAAAGCCAATAGAAAAAAAAAAAAATATGGAAAATAGAAAATGTTTCTCCCAACTGTGGAATTGGGAGGGGGCATTTTTAACTTTTTAAAAATCAAACAATGGGATTTTTTTTTTTTTTTTTTTAAAGGAGGTTACAGCATTAAATTTTCTGAACTTTGGTAAGGGAAAAGTCATTTAGCTAAAAAGCAGGAGGTTGCAATTTCTACTTAGTTGTATGTATTAAACAAAAAAAATCTACATATTAAAAAAAAACAAGAAAAGTGCTGAAATTTTAAACAAAAAAAAAAAAAAAAAAAAAAAAAAAAAAAAATCAAAAATTCAAAGAAAACTGAATACAGTGCAAGGAGAAAAGCTTCAGTGTTGCAATCATTTTTATTCCATGGAATATTATTTTGAGATTCATTTTATTCAAGAAAATTGTAGCTTCATTTAAATTCCCAATTAAAAGTAAATTTGTAATAAAAATTGTATAAACTTAATTTCTATTTTATAGAACAATATTAGATTACAGGATTTGCAATATGTGCATCCACTCTGCCTTACAATTTTCCTCTTATGCAGACTTATTGAATGACAAAAAAAAAAAAACTGAATTGTTGTAAATCTTTAATAGATTTTTTTTTTTTTATACTGGACCACTGAATGTATGTCAAAAATCTTAAGATTGTCAACGGGAATGACAACTGGCTGTATTTGTTTTTTAAAAGCATAATCTGATGTCAATGTGAAAAGAAACTCGGATAAAGTAGAGGGCAAAGAAAATGGAGAAAACAAAAAATAAAATCAGACAAGGTGAAGACATTGACAATAATTTGCAAACAAGACAAATTGCAATAGAGAAGTGGTGGTGGTAGGGAGATAACCTCCTACTCATCTAAGTTAACAGAAATGTTTAAGAATAGGGAAGCACATACACACATTTAAAGTTGTTTCTAGCAACCATAGCATATTTTAAGAAATTAAACAGAAAGCAAAATGGAAAAATTGAAAGGTATAAAGAGGGTGGTAAAAAATGAAAGCAATAAGAAAACTAAAATTAATTATGAAAAAAAAGGGGGGGTAAGAATCATTAAGAGAAAAAAAATTAATGTGAATGAATAAAACTGGAACATTTTTAAGGGAGGGAGGGAAAGTGGAGGGGAAATGTAAAAAAAAAGAAAGAAAATCTTTCATAACCAATTTTGAATAAACTAAAACTTACAGTTCTAAGAAGAACATTTCAGAAAGTTAAAAAGATTTGCTTGATTAGATTGTGGACTTACAAAGAATGCAAAACTTGTCATATGTTGTCAGTCTAAAGTTTGATAGGCTAATGAGTAGGGTGATCAAAACTTACCCCTATAATCGCATTCAGCTCAGCCATGGTCACCTGTTTGGCCCGTTCTACAGCAGCTGCCACCTGTTGTTGGTGCTGCAAGACAAATGTGAAATAGCAGACATTCACAAAACAATGGTCACATGGCTCAAAAAAAGTGTAATTTTGAACCTATTTGCCACTGTCTAACAATATTCTTACACCATCTCTACAGAATCTCATTCATTCAGAGAATATGAAAGACCTATGCAAGGGGCCTCTGAAATAATGGTTTCAAGCACTAGTGGCCAAAAACTGTTTAAAAAAGATCAAAGTAGAATTTATATCTAATTTTAGTATATAAACAACTACAGAAATTGGGAAACCTGATATTGATATATATAAAAAAAAAAAAAAAGAAAAAAGAAAAAATTATCAAAAGCCTAAAAGAAACTTGTTAGCAAAACTCATGTTCAAAACTTATAGAACAAACTATTTGTTCATAGAAGCCTAATTTGCAAATTAACTAATGCAGAAGACATTCCTTTATGGTTGCTGTATTTAAACCTTTTGCTAACAAATTTCATTTTAGTAAAAAAAAATTATGTTCTTTGATCTAAAATATTGAGAAAAAAAAATCATCTTAAACTGTAGCTAATATCAACTTTATAAAATTTCATTAAAAGATTATTGAACTAGGCCCCCTATGGTTGAAAAGATTTTTTGTAAACAGATTTGCTATTTAAAAATATAGTTTACAACATTCACACTCTGGATGGTTTAGTAAGTAATGGGAATGGGAAAATTAAAGTTACAAAAAGCATAACATGCAAACACTTTAATAATTCAAGAAATGCACAAGACAATAAAACAAATGGACAATTAATTAAAAAAAAAAAAAAAAAAAAAAATTAATTAGATAAGTGAAAACAAAAATTTGCTTTTTCATGAAGTGATTTTTTGCTCTTTTCTATGTGAGTAGTGGTTGGGAGGGGTATTGATATGTTATAATTTTTTTGTTTGTAATATTTTTATCATTTTTATACTAATTTTTTTTTTTTTTTTTTTTAAATTGATTTTGGAATTATTTTAATTCTTTTAATTAAAAAAAGGAAAATTTTCTAAATGGAGAGGAATAGTTTTCATGAAGGTAAAGTCAATTTTTTTTTTTGTTTTGTTTAACTTATCGAAATTAAATGATCAAGACAAAAGTAATGCTTTTATTTGGTTAAAAAGGATGAAAAAACCAGCAAACAAATGATGTTGAGCTAAAATTTTCAGCATCTCTGTAAGAGTAATTTCTTTTAGAAAGAAATGATTGTAAATTCACACAAAACTCTTAACTGCCAGGATTCCCATAAAATTGCAAATGTTTTAGTTTGTTCAAAGTCAAGCAAATTTTGTTACAAATTTTTTTTTTAAGCATGCATATATATATATATATATAATGTGTGTGTGTGGAGTTCACTACACAAATACATTTAATATTTTTTATTTTTGTGACTCATTTGTCATTTATATTTGAAAATGACATATCATTCTACTTAATACATCACACTTAAAAAAAAAAAAAAAATAAAAAAAAAAAAGGAAGTGATTTTAAAAAAAAACAAAACAAACAATTGAACCTGTCAAGGTTAACAATGAGAATAAGATTTTTCCTTTTAAAAATACATACATAGCTACAACCTGAGGAAGTAGGTTAGAGTTTATTCTTAAATGCTTACCCACCCACTCTTGTGGCATAACAATTGTGGCAGAAACATAATGAGAAGTACAAGATATCTGGTAATGAGACATAGCAAAGAAATTTATTTTGAGTACAAAAGAAATAAGTAGAAACAAAATCAACTACAGGGTGAGATGATAAAAAGGTGGGTAGGAGCAGAAACTCTTCTCTCACTCATATTCTGTGGTTGCCATGAATAGAAATTAAAATATAAAGTCCAGTTCTCTTTCTAAAAAGCGTACCAGCCTTAGTATGAAAATTATCAGAGATAAAATGTTGTATCCTAGGATTTGAGGAGTGTACAATATAGATATAAAAACTGAGAATTATGATAGTGGCATTATCTTACTTGATAATAAACTGACCCATCCCCCAGCGAAGGCCATTTTTTTTTTTTATTTATTTATAAATTACCATGGTTATAATACATTTACAAGTAAACCAAATAAGCAATTATTCACTTAAGTTAGAAAAGTGTGTAAGCTTTAATTGAAATATGTCAGGATAATTGACTTTATAATATAAAAAGAAAAAAAAGCATTGTGCACCTTTAGAACTAAACTGTTCTGTATTGTCAGAGATGATGTCAGAACCCAGAAACAAGAATGGTAAATTAAGTTATGATGGATGTATAAGAATAAAAGGCATGAATAATACAGAACACAGCTGAAATACTTCCCACATAAGTGAAGACATCATTGCCACTAATGTTTTTCCATTATATGGAGGCATTTCGGGGAGGGAGGGGGTATTTTTGCCACACCTTGTATAACAGAGTGGCAAGAGAAGACAGTGAGCAAAGTTCAAACTTGAGTTGATTTTTGTTTTGTTCACTTTGCACTAATACCCTAGGAAGAGGGACAAAGAATCCATTGGGTTAAATAGAAGGGCACACTGGGTTCTCTTGCTTTGAGGTAGCAACAAGTCTTAAGAGAAGGAAACTGAATTCAGAATCAGCCTGAAGAGAAGATGGATACCAAACCACTGCTGCCACTATGACACAAATAAGTTATGAGGCTCTAGATAAGAGTAGAATTATCCATTTAGGAAAATTAGCTATTACCTTACAGTTTGTATGTGGTTGAATTTTACAAAGCAATTTTTTTTTTTTTTTTAATTATTTCTTTGATAGGCACAATGGCAAGAACTTGTAACATATTCTATTGGACATTAGCTAAATTACATGTTGGGATTTAATCAAGTATATAGCTGCTGATTTTCTAGGATTCAAATTCATAATCTTTCACATGGAAGTAAGGTGAATTGCAGGAATGTTTAAGCTCTCTTTCTCATATATTAGATAATGTTGACACCAGTGGTGATAACGTTTAATGTTTGATCACAATCTTCAGGCCACATGAGTTGGATGAATGTATATACCATATATGACAGTGTATAAGATGCACCTGAATTTCAGCAGGGTAAATAAAAAAATATCAGTAATTAGTAAAATTATTAAACCTACATATGGCATACAAGACAGGGAAATTAAGATATTTTTTATATAAAAAAAAGAAAAAACATGCCTTATATGCCATCAAATATGGTAAATAGTCAAGCTATAATCCCACCCACAGGGCCTGAATATTGAGCACTTTTATCCTATAGGATATCTTAAAACAATATTTTATGTGATTATATATATATATATATATACTGAAACTACCAGTGTCTCTTGTTCAAGTGTAGACGTCAACAAACCCAATTCAATGAAGTCCTAATAATGGATCAAATGCATCACAAAATTTTTTCCATTTTGTCTTAGTTTCCTTATATATATATATGGGTAGCAATCTATCTTTTATACAAGTTTCATTGACAGCAACTCACAAGGTACTGTAATCAAGCTTTTTATTAAGTTTATTTTTGAATTCATACAAATGATATGTAGATCCAAGTGCTTGTTTAATCTAATTGCCATTATCAAGGATATTTTTGGATTAACTGCAGATATTTTTTTATTAATTAATTAAAAAAAAAACCTTGATAATGGCTAATAGCTTAGTCAAAAGTACTCAGATCTACAGAACATTTGTTGGGCTTTTACTGTTCAAAAAATAAATCACTTGTATGAATGAAAGAAAAATTTATTAAGTTAAACTGCTGTGCCTTGTTAGTCATAAAGCAATCAGTTAAGTGACAAATTTTATTTGTATTAATCATTATACATATCCATACCCCCCCAAATCTTCTATGATTTATTTTGCCAGCTCTGTTGTTACCACTATCGTAGGCTGTCTTGCTTTTAAAAAAAAAAAAAAAAAAAAAAAAAAAAAATCACTGTTTACCCTTTTAACCATGTCAGTTCTTTTAACATTACAAAAAGTATTCTCATTTGCAATAATTTTTTTTTTTTTTTTTTTAAAAAGAACAATGGAAAAATTGCAGGCCATTTTCCTTAAAAAGATAATTTAGTGTCTGACATGCCTTCTTGCTCATCATTTCGTAACATCTGGCAGAAGAGGAAAAAAAATAAAAAATAAAGTTAATTTCTATTTAAAAAACCCAAACTAGTTGATTACAGTTTAGTACCGATTTTAATTACTATGTTTATTTGTTATTAGAATATTTTTAGTACTGACTGTGTTTAAAGTGTTAAGCACGAGCTTTTTAATCTTCGGGACACTATTCAAGGTGGGCCTCGGCTACAAGGAGTCTTTAAACAAGAATTTTAATGAACTGTAATTTTTCTTCCATTGAGCTCACTTGAGTACATACAATATATACACTATCATTGAAACTCATTGCAATTAAGAATGTGTGGAGAAAAAGTGACTATTTGCTGATCTGGCAGGTTGCTTTTGAGGTACAAACTTAAACATTCAGAAAATTAATACAAAAGAAAATAAATGAATTTGTGGAGGTGTGTAAAATTGACCCTGGTGTGTATACAAAAATATAAATTACTTATTTCTTGAACCAACAAATGCATCACTGGCAATGGAATTAAAGAGAAAAAAAACCCAAATGTCAAACATGCTCTATAGCTCTAAGTTTACATATACATAAATCTTACAATTAGAGATTTAAAAAAAATTGACTAATCTTCAAACAGGTGTGTGCGTGTATCTCTGAATGTTCTGTATGTCAGAATGCTTTTGGTTATACTTTTAGCCATTATCAAGGATGATTTTATTTTTATATTTTAACTGAATGTATTAATTTTATTTTTGATTTAAAAAAAAAAAAAAAAAAAAAAAAAAAGAATTTTTATGTATGTATCTAGAGTTAGAGGAATTTTTTCTTCAAACACGGTCAGCATATTGTGACCATGTTCATAGTTGATTAAGAACAAATTTAGCAATAGGAACTGCCCCACAGCATAGAGTGGGTAAAAGAAAAACTATTACCAATAAGCTATATTGTGTGTGGTGTGACGTAAATGGAACGATATTGGCTAGATGAAGACGCCATTGTCACAAATGTCTTACCGTTATGTGGGAGGTATTTGTCGCACCCCATGTGCATACACACACTAAGTTTGGTTAAAGTTCAACTAAAGTTCTTTAAGTATTTGTTTATTTTTGCTATAGTTTGGATAATTTTCCAATTTTCTGGTGGAAGTTTAAATATAAACTGTCCAATGTCAGTACTTTCATAAGCATTCAAAAATTGGTATTTTTCTATGTGTGTATGGTATGTTATCTTTGTTTTTCAATTATAACAAAGAGTAGAAAGTTTGTTTGTTTTTTTTTAAATATTGGTTATAATAACGAAACAAATTTTATTTTTTGTTAAAAGAAAGTTTTCATTACATAAAACAGAAGTTGTGGACAGTTCAGGCATTAATGCAATTGGAAATATAAATGGGTAAAATTAACATCTTGTGATATTCCAAAGCTATCCCCACCCCTCAAACACAAACATGCAAATTTCCCCACCCCCAAGATTTTGTTCAAATTAAGAGAGCATATATTTCATTTGTGAAAATTGTTTAAAATAATCTTACCTCTTGAGATAAAAATGGAATAACTTGTGCACATATTGCATTTAGCCGTTTTGCAATTTCAGTCTGAAAATAAAAATTTGAAAATTAAGACTGGATATTTTAATTACAAATAGGCAAGAAAAATATTTAGTACCTCAAATATCAACTTTAATTTTTGACATTGACAATGTAGAAAGGCCAGCCTCATGGTTGAGAAAGTTACATATTTCTTGTCATTTCCAGACAGTGTTAAAATGTTAAGGATGTTGAATGCTGATTTTATTCTATTTATCTTTATTAATACTCAGAAGCCATTAGGTTAAACTGGGAAAACAGGAGGTAAAAGATATCAAAGCAGCAGCAGTAACATGCAGAAAACAGGAATATTATAGAAAGTGAATTAGAAAAACCTTCAAGCCAATGTAAGAGAGAAATTGTACACAAATACAATTTACTATCTAATACAATCAAAATGTATAATAGTGGTCTAATTTTTGAAGTTATATAAAGTCTTGTTATTGACTGCCAAAAGAAGGAGAGTGTCCCACCCATTCACTACTGGCTGTGAAAAAAATATTTATGTTCAAACAATAGGGTAGGGGTTGAATTTGTAATGGATGTCCATTGGTAGATTTATACTAGCTTTTAATGAAATATTTCTCAAAACCTATAATTGAAATTTACTATTCTATATAACTGTTATTAAACCAAATACAAGATGGTTGTTTCAAGTGAGAAAAGGGATCAATATTTTTTTAAGTTTATCAGAGTAAAGCATATTTTTAATTTCAGGAACCATTTTGGCAAAGCATTTATGTAATTTTTTTTTTTTTAAGCAGCTGTAATATCATATGGAATGTAAGGTGATCACAAACAGGAAATAGAGACTAAAATAAGACTGACAAGTGATAAAGCTTCAGAAAGGTTTCTTTTTGTTGTGTGGAAAAGGTTCATTGTATTATAGCTAATATAGCAGTGGGTTTTATTTTGAATACGGCTGTAGTAACTTAGAAGACTTATATCATCAGGTCATAATTACTTTTCAGTGGAGAAAAGACTACATTTTGGAAGATCCTATCTGGATTTCCTCACAACTTGAGATCATGTTACTCTAAGCTAAACTTAAAAAACAAAATCCCCAAAGCCATGTCCTGAATACATTTTCATATTTTTTTTTAAAAAGATTAGAATAAAATAGGTTAATTATGACACCTTCCTTATGCCTGGTGTACGTTGGTGTCAACAGCATTCTAGATAACTGCTCTACAGTAGAGATTATCCATAGCTGTTGAAATCTATACAGATATATCAGCACCCTATATCTAACCATCATTGTACAGCTTCAGGCAGCAGAGTTTTGAATTCAAGAGTCCTTCTAGACTGGTTGCCAACTACAGCTAGAGAGCCCAGTTGGCCCTGCTATTTAATCTATAATTAGTTATGTATTCATATATATATATATATATATATATATATATATATAAAATAGCTGTTATTCATATTGCTATTATTTTTATTTGTATAGTTGGTTTTGATTTTAAAGCAGTAAAAGCTCATGTAGCTCAATGGGTAAGAGACTTTTCAAAGCAAAGTATTCATTATTTCCATTCCATAGTTTAAGGGCTGTAGAAAGTGCAAGTCATTATGATGAAAGGATGCTTCATTAAATAAAAATTTAATAGTGGTAAATCCTTTATGCCCAATTCCACAATGCCTTTTTATAGATATCTGTTGGTTTAAACCAGCTCTGACAAAATGGCTTGTCTCATTAAGAATAGGACCAGCATTAAACCAAGAAGCTTTTCTCCTGAAGCATTTTGCTATATTTGTGCTGCTAAAGACACGCACAACAATGAAAGTAAATATAAAAATTGAAGATTTAATTTATACTAGTTATATATTCAAACTACTGCCCTCATCTTTTTTGTTATCAGGTTTCAGTCAGAGTACACTCTGGCTTTTATCAGGTGTATATCGATTTGGGTAAGGAAATTCAGAACTGAACCTTTTATTTGATCTACAGGGTTAGTGTCCTTGTTTCACTGGCTATGTCTAGGGATATCTAGTTCTTATGGGACAATAGACTAGTGATTAAAATACTGGTTTGTGGATTTGGTGACAGTAATTGTGAGTAATCACTGAGCCAGGCAGTGTATTTGGACACAGGGGAAATGGGTGAGCAATAACTGAGAAGTACTAAAAGTAAAAAAAAGACAAAATATCCCTAGAGGGATACAGTGGAACAAGATCGGTCTACCCACTATATTTAAACTGAAGGGTTCAGTTTGGAATTTCCTAGATTACCTAGATCAATATACATCTGATGAAGGCTTTTACAATGGCCAAAATGTGATAAAAAAGAAAATGAGGACAACAGTTCGAATCTAAATGTTTGAAGATTAGCATTACTTAAATCTTACTTCACCCACAACATTTGTCAGAATTGAAAACCAGTTTTTTTCCTTTAGAGGCAGATCAATTTAAAGTGTTGAAATATTAAAGACAACAAACCAATCTGTAATGCATAGAATTTAATTCAACTTTTGGAGAAAAAAAAAAAAAAAATTTGCAAAGTAAATGATAGGTGAAAATATTCTGTCCAACAATAACAAATAGTTTAGGTTGGTTGGTTTTATGAAATGTTAATCCTTATCAAATTCTTTGTATTAAGCACCCAGTGAGGATCCAATTCACTAGCAATTCTATAGGTTCACACTCCTTGGTCTTGTTAAAAAGAGTAGAGATTTATCCCTTATTTTCTTTTTAGAATTGGGTTTCCAGTTCCTTCTAAAGTCTTTTCCATCTCTCACTTCTAGTAGTCCCTTGCATCATAGTGGCATTATCACCTTGCTTGGGGTGGATGAAAAAAAAGTAAAAAACAATACTCCAATAATGTCAACCTCTCATATTCAATAGAATTCAATATTCAAATTGAGAAAGTTAATTTTTTTGATAAGCCTGAAGCATTCATAGCCTTACTAAAAGAATATATGTCTAGCAATTTGTGCAAAGGTCATTTTAAAAAATCTGCAATATGAGAGGCACAAAAAGTTACTTTTGTATAAGAACAATGGTTTAAATGTTAAGAATAAGAAAGTTTCCATACAAGCAATAATATCTTCACACAGCAAAAATGAAGAAACAGGATGAAGAGACATTAATTACAAAGAGAACAACAATGATGAGGAAGGGAAGATGGGGAGGAAAACTGATAGAAGGAAACAGAAACAGACAGTTAAGGAAATAAACGCATCAGTAAAAGGTGATGATAATGCCAGATGAAGAGAATAGTGATTTGGGAAGAAGGAGAATCTATATAAAGAGTGGCAGGGAGGCGGGGGGGGGACAGTAACAGCTTTTAGCCTCCTCACTCTTTCTGATCTGAAAACACCCTTATACCCCATGACAGGATAGATGGATGGCTGATTAGAGACAGGAGACCCAAACCCAGCCGCGAACCCTCATTGAGCTGGACAAAGTGGCTCCATTAATAAAATGTGTGCTGATTGCACAGGACAGTAGAAGAGCTGACACCCTTTACTGTTCATCCAACCTTACCATGAAGGAGGAACCTAAATCCCCTGAGGGTAATAGAGACTAACTCCAACACATTTTGGAAGCACAACACTTGACAGAAGCAGAATGGTAGTGGATGTTATAGAGTCTTATAGAGGCTTGAGAGAAGAAAAAAAAAATTCAAAACCAAATTGAGTAGAACCAATAAAATACAGAAAGTAGGTTAGGTTAGAGAATAGTTAAGATATCCACCTAATTTACTTCATATGTCTATAAACACAAACAAGTTTGATTAAAAAGAAAGATCTATTTGTTTTTTTTTTTTATTGTATTTTTCCAATTTTCAGATAAGGTGTTGAGTATTGTGCTTGTGTGAATAAACTGTCCAAAGTTCATATTTTGTTATTTTTGTTCAAGTACTTTTGCAGTCATTATCAAAAACCCGATGCGGTATCTGTGTGGTAGTTAGAATTCCTTTGTCAGCATACTGGTATTCTTTTGGAAGCTGGACATTGGAAATGGTCAAATGTCAGAAGTGTAATGACTATTCGAAATGAGGCTGTACAGAAGTGGGATTTATTTATTAATTTAAACTTTTTATTTTAAATAATTATTATAATACTGAAAATATCAGCACATAATTATATCATATGCACTTTTTCTTATTTTCTCATATGGTGAATGATATTTTATTTAATGTGGACGGTTTATTTTGTGTAATAGCTTTGAGTTTTGAGTCTTTCCGTATCGTAATGAATAGGACATAAGTTCATCCATAAATGATCTTATTTAATATTGACACAAGAGCCTGCTAAGAGCAATGGTGCCTTAGCCACTCTTAATGTGTACTACCTTTGAGACATCCTATACTTATACCACATCCTTTCAACTTCAAAACCATCAACAAAGTCACTTTTTCTAGGATGACTAACTGCTTTGATGGGTTCTTAACCTTGTTCATGGTCTAAGGTCCCAAAGATAGCCGGAAATTGCAAGTTTGGGGGTGGAGGTTCTGGACTGTTTGGGGCAGCAGACCTGAGCAGAGCCACATTTGGTCAGAAAAGACATGAAGTTATTTTTTAATTTATTTATCAGTATATACATTATATTTAGTTAATACACATGCTTTTGTAGACATTTGTTAAAACAAAAAAAAAATTTCTGTCTACTGGCCAGTGTCTTATTTTTTACTTTACTTGTGAATGCAACTGTCACACAGTATAAGTGTTCACTCACTAGAATCTCACTAGTGAGTTGCCCTACAAAGGAGTGTTCACATCGGCAGAGTAAGGTCCCATCTAATTGGTTGCCAAGTTACAAATACATAGCTAAATACTTTTGACAAATCTTGTACATATGAAAAGTGCAAAACAGAGCTGCACAGCCAGTTGTATCAGAGTTCAAAGTAATTTCGGATAGAGGCACAATAACCAACATTATCTCAGTGTGCACAACACTAGAAGCTTACTGCAGAGATTTGAGCAATAGAAAATTTCACTGCTTCAGCACTTTTCAAGATTCTAGATGCTTTCAACAGTGTTGGCATCTGGATGATTTTGACTTCCCTC